GCATGCAGTAACTCTACCCTTCTCATGTGGCGGGTCGACCGTATTGAATTTATCGTATCATTTCTGGGTAGACGAAATTGTACAACAGGGCTACAAAAAATTTGACTTTCCGACGGAAATGAATTACTAGGAAAATTCGATTTTAAGTCAACTCCCATTGGATTTAGGTCAACCCTTTATAAATATTTTTAAGACATGTTTCCAATCATGAAAGCTTCCATTCATTACAAAATTTTCTTGCCAAGCATTTCTCAAATCCTCTTGATGAGACTTTCTCTATCCTCCAAATTTCCTTCTCTTCTTCTTCAAAACCAGCATCGTAATCTCAATTATACGTACCAAGATATGTTCATGGATATATGAAGGATATTTCAAATGTTCTTCACATTCAACTGTGGAAATTTCACAGGGATGGTTACCCTTTCTGGGGTAACCACCAACCGGATATTGTGGGCATCCAGGCTTCAAGCTAGATTGCCAGGGAAAAAATCACAATAGAAATCATGTCTTTGAAGTATACAATCCTGATATCAACCTCGAATTCAACTCCTACACATCGCAAGAACGGATTTTTTGCGAACAACATTTGTCCTTCAAGCTTTTAATAGTTCCTTAAATGCCAGTCTCTTCAGTTACACAATCAACGATGGTTATGCCACCTTGTTATACGATTGCGATCCAACGGCCAAAGCTCATGAGAAACCAATGAGTTTTCTTGTCCAATAAACAACCACCCGCGGTGCTCTTTATTATGCCGACAAATTTTTCAAGTAATTATAAACCTGCAAGGGGATGCAATATCAGTCTCTTGATGCCGGTGTTGGCGATTTCTGTTCAAAGATATATGAATCTTTCTTTAACCGTTGAGAAGTTATAAAGGAAGGTTTCGAAGTTAGGTGGATTATGGAACAAGTGCATGCAAGAATTGTATAATTCAGGTGGGAAATGTGGATATAACTTGAGTCAGAAGGAATTAGCTGTTTTTGCCGCGATGATGAAGCTTACGCATGGACCTGTCCAAGTCCCCAACCGCCACCCTTTACAGCAGCATTCCTGCAACTCTCCTGGGATGATAATGGACAAGGTATGTTTCATTACTTCACTCTCTTTAATATGGATAAATAATATGAGGCATCATTTATATAGTATAATCTTACTAAGTTAAAGTATTTTTTTTGTTGTATATAGATGACAGCATATTTTTATCATTAATTTCTTTATACGTACTTATGGCATTGGTTACTTGGCTACATATTCTTGGGGTTTGGGAAAATAGCCACTTGATGGGTGTTTCTCGGAAAATAACCTTTCCGAAGTTTATTCAAATAGCCAAAATTATTGGAATTTGATTAAATACCCTGAGTAATGTTATGTTTACTCACGAACTTATTAACCACTTTACTCACCTTTGTTAAAATTACATATGGTACTCGTACTATGTTTATGATACCGTACTATGCTTATATTTACAAAGGTTAGTAAGATGGTTAGTAAGTTCGTGAGTAAGCATAACATTATTGAAATACCCTAGTTCAACTCTCACTAATGTTGTATGCTTTAGACTCTACTAACAAATCAGTAACATCTGTTTGTTTGAGGAACAATTTTGCCACTGAAAAATCAATGACCCTGTTTGTTTCACTCTTAAATTTTTTTTTTTTTTTTTTTTTTGTTATCCTATTTAAATTAAAAAATAGAATATGTATTTGTTTACTTATTGAGATCATTATTCTGAAAAATTAATACGAATCAAATAAGATTTTTTTCTATTGAAAATGAAAAGAGGAGGGGACTTGTTTTCTATTATCCTATTTTATTTAACTCAAAACATTTTTCAAATTCTATTCAAATAAAAACAATTACCTTTCACTCCTCCCAATTTGAAAATTACTCCACCCAAGACCACCACCGCTTGCCAGCAATCACCACCGGCCGTCGGCATCGAAACGATGCACGACCGGTCGTGCGTCGATCTGACTGTTAATGACGGCTAGATCTATCTACCCGTTGAAGACGACCATATTTTGGCCGTCATTATGGCCGTAGATTTGATCGTTTCTAGTCAGATCCACGGTGGATCTCGCAAAAATGGCCAGATTGGTGCACGATCGACCAGATCCAACTGATCGTGCATCGTTACGGTGACTGTTAGTTACCGTCCGGCGGTGGTGGCCAATGGCCGACAATGGCTTGGGTAGGTGAGGGTATTTTTGTTATTTTTTAAGCTTTTATTGTGAGGGTTGTTTAGCTAAATTAACGAAAATTGGGGATTAAAATAATCTAAATATTTTCAAAAAAATATATCAAACAACTTTTTAGCATTTTATTCAACTTTGATATAATTTTCAAATATTATACCAAACACATTTTTAGAATTCTATCCTATTTGATTTAATCAAACTTAACTTAACTTGAAATAGTTTTTCAGAATAACATTTTTCAAATAATCTATCAAACAAGCCCACTGTGTCCTGAATTGTTAGTAAGAATATAGCCCAAGGACGTTTGAAATTTGAATATTTACCTACCAATAATACTTTGCGTACTAACCGATTTTACTAACCAGTATACTAACCTAAAGCATAGTAGGGTACCATACGCATAGTACAGGTACCATATGTAATTTTAACAAAAGGTTAGTAAGATAGTTAGTACAATCCGTGAGTATGCATAGCATTACCCATTTACCTACACTAAGTAATTCCAAAGGTTAATACTTGTGGGGTATTGACGGGTTTTTGGTAGGAATAACCAGGTGAAAATATCTCACTTCAAAGGTTATTGCATATGTAGCTAAAAACCATTATAATTTGACTATTATACCCTTCAATTCAACTCTCACCAAAAGCAATTTTCAAACTTTTAGTTTTTAAAAGACTCTCATACACGAGTGTTGGGCATCGTCAAGCATTAATCCACACAATGTTTGTTTGAGAATTAGTGGTCAAGCACTATGGATGAAGGATTAGACTAATGATTTTTGACCTTTTGAAGTAGGTGACATTAGCCAATTCACTTCAACATTTGGCCAAACCCTTCCCCAAGTGGCTATATATTTGCGAAAAGTCCTACATACTTGGGTCAAATAGTTACAATCTTTCTGAGACATTTGTAATATTGGAAATATGTCAAGATTATTTGGAGTTGGACTATGAACAGATAAAGTTTGAGTGGAGACATTTAGAGTTGGGCCCAAACCCAGAAGCTAATTAATGAGCCCATGCAATAAGAAGTTCGTTAGATTGAGGCTACAGCTAGCGTGCAGAAAAATCTTGAATAGCTGTTTTAGCTTTCAAACACTCTAAAAGTCTTGAACGAGCAAGGGCTGGTCAAGACCAAGGAAATGCCGCAACTTGAAAATAGATCTTTGACCTTTCAAAGGCAGACAGCTAAAGGATTAATATTTTTCTTCTTAATTTTTTTTTTCAAAATCCTTTAATACATTTAAAATAGCTTTATTATTTGATTAATTCAAAATATTTTGGGAAGTTGATAAATTGTTTTAGTCGCACTATTTGCACACAAATCTCAATACACATCATTAGAATTTTTAAAATTATTTTTGTATTTTAATCATATTTTTATTCAATTAGACATAAAATATATTGATTTTATGTTTTAATTTTGAAATATATGAAATAGAAATCGAAATTTAATCAACTTCTAGTAAATGTATTCAGATAATGGATTTAATTAAAAGTAGATTTTTGGGTATAATATAAATAGAATAATGCTACAACCATAGAAGGTTGTACACCGAATCTGTGCACCGGATGACGTGACAAAATCCTAATCATTGATTTATTATCAGTTAAATAGTTAATATTAATCAACGGTAAAGATTTTGTCATGTCATTCGGTGTACAGATTCGGTGTGCAACCTTCGATGACTTTATCATTTTCGATATAAATAACCTCAACCTAGTTGTCATATCACAACATTTATTAATGTGGGGTTTTAGGTATAGTTTAGTGAAAGATTAAATTAGGGGACATGGAAATGAAGTGTTAATTAATTAAGAGGCTGCTGGTCTTTTCAACTACAATGCTTTGCTAGATTTAAAATGCTAGTTCTTAAGTTCAATTATATATAAATTTAACAAACCCTGTAAGCATGTATTTGCTGAAAAGGAATGTTTCACAAGGCACCTATTAAAAATGCAAAATTGTATATAAATAAAAATTCAATATAATGCAAATTTGACTTTTTATTAATATATGTGCTTTAAAACCAATTTCTTGCTGGTCGAGTGATTCGATAGGGATTCTTTAGGGTATTATTTAAAAAGTCATGAGTTCGAATCACTCTTCGGTTGCTAATAGGAGTGATTACTAGAGTTCTTATCCGAGTGGTAGTTCTAGAGTTTTAAAGGATTAGTTAAGGTACGCATAATATATACATATACCCTAAGAATTAGTTGAGATACGTGCAAATTAACCCAAACACTCTGGTTATCCAAAAAAAAAAAAAAATTATAGGAAAAATCCCTTTTTAAAATAATAATCTTCTCTTTCGATTTTCTATCTTACTCTGTTTTTTAATTAAATATTTAAATTTGAAATTGAAGGTGTTAGTCAATCCAGTAAATTAAGTTAAACCTTAAGCATACGTTAAGGTTAGAAATACATAAAACTTGATGGGACTGATTTCTGCCATTGGTAGTTTCATAAATTAATGCAACTGTGGCCCTCTTTTGTTCGCTGTTTCTCCCGCCTTTCCTATTTGATCACATTTTCTCCTGCGAAAGTCGAAGTCAACAGCCATCTCTTTCCATGTGTTGGATGTGGATTATTGTGATGGGCTTGCCTTTCTTCGTCAAATCAACTAGTCTCCCCCTTTACATTATACAATTTCCACCATCTCTTTCGTGTCTATTTCTTCTTAATTATGTTACTCTACCGTTAACTATGAATCATCTTATGAGAATTTGACATAATATACAACCCATATCTTACCGATTCTCTCTTATCTCTGCATCACCTCCATCGCTTCCCACAGAATGAACAATAATCTCTTCCCACCACTTGTTCTTCACTACATGATTTTCACACTCTTCTGCATCTTGATCGCCATCCCTTCATCTTACTGTGATGACGAGCGATACGAGGCATGCAGTCAACCCTACAATTTCTCATGTGGTAGGTCGTCGACTGTATTGAATTTGTCGTATCCTTTCTGGGTAGATGAATGGCTGCCGGAGTGTGGTAAAAATGAATTCAAGCTCACTTGTGAAGACGATCAGCATCCTATAATAAACTTTCCACCTCAAAAGTTTCGAGTTTTGCGCATCAACACAACTGATCAAACAGTGACACTAAGAAAAGATCCCCCTTGGGACGGTACTTCTTTGGACGACACTGTTTGTCCTGAAATACCCGCCGTGAGCGTTAATTTCAACCAATTTCTCTCCAATTACAGCCAAAACGTTCGAAACCTAAGTTTATTCTATGAATGCACTGATGAATCCCAACTGGGTTTACATAATTATAGTTGTAAACAAGGAGCGGAACATAGGAAAGGCTTCTACACAATTGATGACGGAAAATCAAAGGATTTTCCAAATCTTACCGATACTGTAACTTGTAGAAAGGTTGAAGAAGTCCCCATTCTATCCATTGATGCTCTCCATGAGACTGAATATTATGAGAACCTGGTTTGGCTAAGCGAGGTGTTATTGAAGGGGTTAGAAGTGAAGTATGAGGCAGAGAACGGACTCTGTTCTGCATGTAAATCTTCTGGTGGGATATGCGGATCTAATGACCTAAATCCGGGGAAATTTGCGTGCCTTTGCCGTGATAAATCTCACCCTCATACCTGTCGCGGTATGCATGCTCTTCCCACGCTCTTCCTTATTCATATTTCTTTACGTTGGATACACTCTAATTTCTCTTTGGTTAACTATTGCAACATGTTTAATTAGTTTTAACCTTTTCAAAGCTGGGAAAGATTGAAGAACTCAGCATTTAGCAATTAGTAATAACCAGTTAGTGCTGGTTCTCCTGGAGTGTGTGCTAGAAATTTCTTCGATATATTTTCAGTTTTCCCAAGGTTTAGGGATCTAGATTACTAAATGATTCAACTAATGGAAGACATATACTACTAGATATTTTTCTGGATGTTATTTTGATTTCTTCTTCACAATAATTTTTTGAGAAATCTCTTAATTTTCGCCGTTGGTAGTTAGAAAGGATTAATCAAACTCAAATATTCATTTATAATAGTTAGATGGATGGAATTCTGGATTAGAATATTTTAATTACACCAACTCATGAATTTCTCTTTTGTATTTTTGTTGGACTATAAAATAGTCTATGCAACTCTGGAATATCATAATATTGTTTTAATTAAGTTGTGACAGAACTCGTTTGCCAAAAATATTTAATTTATTTAGGTGATGTCATGGATCCATAATATTGGATTAGAAATTTATAACTGTTAGATGGACGGAATTCCGGATTAGATTAGTAAAGACCACTCTAGTATTTTAATCAAACTCAAATGTTTTCAACTTATGAATTTCTCTCTCTTTTTTTAGTTAAGACTATAAAATAGCCTATGCAACTCTGAAATATCATAATATTTTTTTAATTAGGAGAGATTATTTGGTGTCTTTAGTTAGATTGTGACATCGTTTGCTAAAAATATTTAATTTATTTAGGTGAGGTCATGAATCCATAATGTTGGATTATAAATTTTCTAAGATATTTGGTTGTTTATTTGTTTTAAATTTCATTTTCTTCAATTATTTAACTTGTATATTATAATGTCTGTTTTCTTATCTTATTTTGTTTTCCGGGTCATATTCTAATTCACAAATAATCCATTTTTTTACGAGAAAAAGCATATCCACTGGCCATTCATAATCATCTACTCTAGTTGACTTGACTTTATGATAAGGTGAGCTTGGTAGTCTGAGTCAACTATTCAAACTAGTCAAAGTCTCTGAGCGAAGGAGCTAGGAATTTGCCTTGGCTTTAATGGTTCAGTACTCCTGCCTCACATGCTCAATAAAGGGTTGGGTGTTTGTCAGCTTATGTTAGTTTGTAAGCTGAAATTTTAAGTAATTATCAATTGGATTAAAATAATTATAAGTGATTAATAAATAGTTAATGTGTGTTTAATAAAATATAATTTATAAGTATATTTTATTATAAAATAATTAAAAATTGTACTATATTAAATAAAGGTATATTATGAAACTTTAAAATTAAATAAGAATAATGCGGTAATATATTTGGTTAAACTAGAGTGCTTATAAAAAAAAAAAAAAAAAAAAAAAGAGTGTCTTCTCCCAATTTTTTTTTTTTTTCTTATAAACCCACTTTGTAAGCTCAAAAAAGTTATAAGCATAGAGATTAGCTTAATTTTAAAGTTTATAAGCTTAGTCAAACAACCTAAAAACTGTTCAAATCAAAATCATACAGTTGAGTTCTGTTTATCTTTCACCTATTTCATTTTTCCTCCATTTCCACACCTTTATCTCTTCTCCTCTTTTCCCATTTCTCAATTTTATTTCCTTCAATCTTCCATCCCAAATGGATTCTCCCAATTTCTTCATCAATGTATTTTTGTCTTTATCATCATCTTCTTCACCTTAGCCCACCGGACAGTCTCTGATTACTCAAAATTTGAGGCATGTTGTGAACCGAAAACTTGTGGCCGTACCTCACAATACCGTACCCTTTTTGGATTTCTGGTGAACAAGAATCTTACTGTGGCCCCCCTAACTTTGAGATCACCAGCAATGACCAGAAACCTGTACTCAACATTTCATATGAAGATTATATCATCAAAGATATCTTCTATGAAAACAGTTCTCTTCGTCTGGCAAACTCCGCAGCCTATGAGAACTCATGTCCAACTCCTCTTCACAACTTTACTCTTACCTGCACTCTGTTACTGTTAGTGTGAAGCGCAAAAACGATGTCGTTGAACCTCTTAGTGCAACGCTGTCGTTTTACGCAGTTGACTACAAAGGAAAAAATCCTGACCATTGAAATCATAGAGCATCTAACGGCCAGATTCACCTCTCCTCAAAACAGAATGAAATGCATTACTTACTCTGCTACAGAACGAGTTTTTTACATACTGTGGTTTTTTAGATCTTTTTGCTCTTAGTTAGGGTTTCCTCTGTATCTCATTCTCTGATTGTAATCTTGGGTGGTTGTTTGTAGTCACGTTTTAAAGGTTGTGTTTCCCTTGAGTCTTGAGGATCTGAGTATAGAATTCTCATAGGAAAGATTGCTGGTTATCGTGAGAGAGAGATTCACAGTGTATGGGTGATTGGGTGTTGGATCTGTTTGTATTTGTGTTGGATTAATCTTTAGTGCAGTGAGCCCTGAGTTTCTGGAGCTCAACGTGGATGTAGCTTATCCTATATTGGATAAGTGAACCATGAGTTTCTAGAGCTCAACGTGGATGTAGCTTATCCTATATTGGATAAGTGAACCATGGTAAAATCCGTTTTCTTGTTTCTTGATTTCCTTTACAGTTTTGATTGTGTGTTGAGTGTGGAATTGTGGATTGTTAGGCTGTTAGAATTGCAGATTTTCTCTACACACTCCATTCAATTCTGTTCCTAGTGATAAAGATTTTTTCTTCTGGTACAATTGCTCCGACAAGCCTCCTGAGGATGGTACATATTCTATAAGTTGTGGTAACGAGTATTCACACTACTATTCTTTTGCTGCTTTTCAAAGGGAAATGCTTGTGAATTATTCTCTCGAGGCGTGCCAGTCTTCTGTTTAGGCACCTCTGAATGTAGAAACCAGGCGCTAATTTGTGGCAGACGAATTATACTGAAATTTTGAAGATCGGGTTCGTCTTGAATTGGACTGCACGTAGTTGCAGCAATTGTGAGGCAAGTGGTGGGCGGTGTGGATTGATAATAATGAATTCGTTTGTTTTTGCAGAGATAAAACTCATCATAAAACATGCGATGACGGTAATTTTATAGGAAGTTTAATCATTTTTCTTGTTTCCTCTATTAATGTTCTTGATTACTAACCGAACCAGACCCAGATTAACTGATTATTTGCCTCGAGTGTTCTTCCTCTGTTAATGTACTGACTTCTAAAGTGGCCCAAATGCCAAACGCGCTTTCATAAAAAATCTTATTTAGTTGTCATTCAAATTGATAGCTGTTCTGTTCTAACTTTTTCTTCACTGCGAATGATTCAGGCAATTCTCTTAATTTGGGACGGAAGCTTGCCATGGGTAATACAGATTTATCTATTGTTTTCATCAGACTTTGCTTGCCTTTTCTATGTTCCAACTAGACTGACTCGGAACTAATTTCTTTTGACAGGCTTTGGTGCTGCATTACTTGGAATAACAATCACTTGTATAATTATCTGCTTATGCAGAAGGAAGAAAATCTCATCTTTTATGTCAAAATCCCTTTTAAGGAATCTAACAAAGAACCATCAAGATATTGAGGCCTTCATAAGAGATTATGGAACTCTAGTTCCCAAAAGGTACAACTTTTCAGACGTTAAGAAGATGACCAACTCGTTCAAAGAAAAACTAGGCCAGGGAGGTTATGGTGGTGTCTACAAAGGCAAGTTATCGGATGGTCATCTTGTAGCAGTGAAGCTCCTAAATACATCCAAAGGGAATGGCCAAGAATTCATTAATGAAGTTGCAAGCATTAGTAGAACATCTCATGTTAATGTTGTCACACTATTGGGATTTTGTTTAGAGGGTGACAAGAGAGCTCTTATCTATGAATTCATGCTCAATGGATCACTTGAGAAGTTCATAAACAACAAGCATAATCTTAAGGCTGGTCAGTATTTAGGATGGGAAAAAATGTACGAAATTGCAGTTGGAGTTGCTAGAGGGCTAGAGTACTTGCATCGTGGTTGCAACACAAGGATTTTGCATTTTGATATAAAACCTCATAATATCCTTCTTGATGAAGATTTTTGTCCCAAGATCTCTGATTTCGGTCTCGCGAAACTATGCCTTAACAAGGAGAGTATCGTATCGATGTTGGAGGCTAAAGGAACAATTGGGTATATTGCTCCATAAGTATTTAGTAGATTCTTTGGAGAAGTTTCACATAAATCTGATGTCTACAGCTACGGAATGATGATTCTAGAGGTGGTTGGAGGAAGAGAAAATCAAGATGATGGAGAGGTTAATACTAGTGAAAAGTATTTTCCACATTGGATTTACAAACATGTTGAGCAAGACAAAGAATTAAAATGGCATGGTGTGAATAGCAACGAGGAAAATGAAATTGCAAAGAAGATGATTATTGTAGGTTTGTGGTGCATACAAATTCGCCCATCGGATAGGCCATCCATGAACAAGGTAGTAGAAATGTTGCAAGGGAGCGTTGAAGCCTTGCATATTCCACCGGAGCCTTTCTTTTCTTCTCCTGCAAGACTGCCGATATATTCTTCAACCACATCCATGTCCTAACAAATTTGTGGTGGATTTGCAATTGTTAACGACCTTTCATTCCTGGTCTTTGGAACAAAATGGCATGTATATATTGACATATTTTTCTACTTTCACATACGAAAGAGAGAGATAACTACTGTTTCTTTCGCCAGTACTGCAACTAACAAAGTTGTGTCGAACTTTAAACAATAAAGTTGTGTTGCAAGTTCCTTGAAATTTGTTTGGTAGTTGGCTAAACATTATTTCAACAAAATAGTAGGAGAAGCCGTTCCACAGTTTCACAATATTACACGGTCTCTTTGGAATTGTTTTGCTCAATTTCTGGTGGCAAATTTAATGGTAAATGGTGATACCGACAATATTAAAATAAAAGTGAACTAAATACATATACAATAATGCTAGATGTATAAACAAATCACACAAAGATTTGTGTATAAACTGATATAGCACAAACTGAATAGAATAGTAAATACAAAAAGTCAAAATCATTATATTCACTCTTCTATTCATTTTGTGTCACATCAGTGTGTACACAAATCTTTGTAAGATTTGTTTGT